ACCCAAAGATGCAACATTATTGGTTGATGTGGGTTAGCAAAGTTTGCACAAAATATTGGGTTAGTATTTGAACCACCCTCTATATATATATATATATATATATATATAGAGAGAGAGAGAGAGAGAGACTTAAGATCATGTGAAACTAGACTGTTTTCATGGACCTATACTATATTTCTACATTTGAAATTTCATAGCAAATGCGCATAATAGATCGATATGAACATTATGAGTTGTCCCGTAATAAAACCAATTGTTGTTGATACCTTCTCCTCGATTCCTTCTTCTCCTTCTTCCATATATAATAAAATATTATTTTTCTCTCATAAACACCAAAAATTCATATTGACATGAATATCATAAAAAAATTATTTCTTGATTCTTCTTTTGGGTAACGTATTTTCAAAACTTTTATTTTGATACCTAAGATGTAAAGTTTTAAACATTTAAGTATCCGGGTAACTGATTCAATACTAATTTTATATTAAAAAAATGCATGCCACTAACCACATCAGCAAATAATACTGAGTTAGATACCAAATCATTCGCCATATCAATATAATAACCGGTTAATGTTTCAACCGGTTATCCGAGGTTAATTAATTTCCCCAATTTGATTTGAAGGTCGGTAGGCTTTTATGTGAACAATATTTGTGGTGCAGAATTTTGGATATGATGGCAGCTGCATAACACACATTTTTATGTTGAATGGGTCAATGTTTTTTTTATTCCCAATTTGGTATAAAAAAATTTAAAAATTTAAAAAATAAATAATAAAACAATCTATTAATATATTCTACTAAAAACAACGTTACAGCTTATACATATTTAATGTTTTAATCAAATAAATATGAGAAATTTTCAATATTTTATAATTAATCTAATTTTGTTTTACGACTTGATCTTCACCTAATAAAGAGAGCAAATATGTATATATAGGTTTAGGATCATGTGAGACCAGTTTGTTTTCGTGAGACTATTTTTTTACATATGAAACTTCACAGTATACTGCAATCTTCATAGTGTATTAGTGTTTTTGTTGTGAATGTTCGGATTTTTTTACCTTCATAATGTTTTGTTATGAAGCTTCAATTGATAGTAGAAAACATATATAGTTAATGAATGACATACATAACTGCCATCTAGGTCTCATCTTGAAAAACATAAAACACCATGTCTGTCGTGACGTGTAATGATTGAGGTTTGATCTCGTAGCCACATCATACCTCGCGACATTTCGAACTTTGATAGAGTCCCTTAAAATTCAAAGACACGTGTCATCATTTCTGGAAAATATATTGCATTCTGAAAATTACATCTCTACTTTAAATTTAAAGAAAATTACAAATTTGTCCTTGGTTCATAACTTTTTACCTGCCTTTGGTCCAAAATCAAAATAAATACAAAGATACGCCTTGTGGTTTACTTTTTTTTTTTGCAGGCTTTGAGTTCCTGTCATTAATGTCGTCCTTAAATCCTCCGTTAAGTACAACATGTGACCCTTATACAAGGGGTAATTTTGTCCTTCTACTACTTTCTTTAATTTTATATACTTCATTTTTTCTAGAGGTGTTTAAACAACCATTTGACCGCTCAAACCAATTAAACCAAGTAAAAAAGTACCGTTATTGGTGGTTTGAGTGGTCTAGAAGTCAAGTCTGATCTGGAAAACAATCAAACTGTTTGATCCGACCTAATTTGTGGTTTAAACGTCTTTTTGGAGGGGTCTATACCCTACCGACCACCAAAAAATGCACAGACACAATTAACGTCAACCACCATGTCTTAACAGCATCTCTAACAGATTATCCAAAACTTATTTAAAAATAAATAATAAAACCTCAAAATCTCCAAAACAAAAATCCATTCAACTCCAACAGATTTTTCATTTTAAAAATTACAACATTTAAAATATTTCCTTTCATATAATAAAACATTATTTCTCTCTTAAAATTTTTATTTTAAAAGTTTTTTATTAATAAAAATATATTAAATAACAATATTTTGTATTTTTTTTATAAATATATTAAAATAAAAAACACATATAATATCTTTAAGGGGTTGTTTGTTTATCTCTTAATAGTTCTATTAAGAGACAACATCTGAATCGTTAAGAGGTGAATCTTGTTTGGCAAAAAAAAAAGTCTGTCTCTTAATGGTTCTAAAACCCTCTGAATGATTTTGTATTCTGGATCTCTTTTAAGCATTAAGAGCCCTAATTTCATTATACACAATTACCAAAAAATTATATTTCATTTTGCATTATATCATGAAAGCTTTTTAATCATTTTGACAACTTAATCATTCTACCCAAAACATTCAATAATTGCTAAACAAACTCTAAATCTCTACCTCCAAAAAAAACATTTTCTCTAAAAGATGACATAATTGGTGACGAATCGTGTGGTAAATTTTAGATAAAGATGAAATCAATGAAGGTTCCATGGGAATTGGGATTCAACACAAGTCACATCCACTGGGCTCCACTTCACAATATTGGGGTCGGGTCAAGTCTTTTGGCCCTCCACACCCTTCTGCACACCATCAGTTTTGTAGTTTCAAATATAACAGCCTACCCAATTTCACACCACTCGTATCAATTTAATTGGTGGCTAGTATCGTATCAACTATTTAAACATAATTGATACATGATGTTAAAAGTTGTATGTTACGGTAATACTGTATTGACTTCTTTTTTTAATTATTTATTAATTAAAATTTAATTGGTATCGTATATGATTGACTGATACATGATATTAGATTTTGTATACTAATTATAATTCTACTGTCTCTATATAAACCTATAATCCACCATCATAGATCATGATCCCCTTTACAGGATCACCACCACTATTCGTCAATGGCGGCACCCACCTACCGGTTCTTAATTTCCTTCATCTTCTCCTTCTATACCCTAATAACCACCGCCGCCGACACCATGGCCGTCAATCAAACCATAACAGATGGCCAAACCATCATCTCAGCCGAAGAAACCTTCGAGCTCGGCTTCTTTAGCCCCAGCAACACCACCAACAATCGGTATTTAGGAATCTGGTACAAACGGCTAGCAGCCGGCACCGTCGCTTGGGTCGCCAACAGAGAAACCCCAATTGCGAACAAATCCGGTGAGTTAACTCTCAATCCCGATGGAGTTTTGGTGCTTCGTGATTCAATCACCAATAGAATCATGTGGTCGTCTAATGCAACATCTACTATACAAAATCCGGTAGCTCGATTGCTGGATACCGGAAATCTGATGGTGGTTGACGGCGACGATGATTCAAATGATCCGGAAAATTACATTTGGCAGAGTTTCGATCATCCTACTGATACATTTCTACCGGATTTGAAGTTTGGGAGGAATTTGAAGAAGGGGGTAGTGACGAATTTCACATCGTGGAAATCCGATGATGATCCATCTGCAGGTGAATTTATGATTTATATGGATTTCAATGGTCTCCCACAGGTTTATCAGAAAAGGGGAGATCAGATTCAATATCGACTTGGATCGTGGAACGGTCTTCGATATACCGGCATGGCGAGTTTGAAACCGAATCCGATTTTCACATTTACACATGTTTCGAACGAAAACGAGATTTACTACAAATTCGAACTGATTAACAAGTCGGTTCTGACGAAGATGAGGATAAGTCCGGCCGGCGATATGGTTCGGTTGAATTGGATTACCCGAACCCAAGGATGGTTTTTGTTTTCAACACCTACGGTTGATAACTGTGTCCGATATCAATTATGTGGGCCCTACGGGAGTTGCGATATCGAGCAATCTCCTTCGTGTGCATGTTTGAGAGGGTTTACGCCCAAGAATCCAACGGAATGGGGTGTGGCAGATTGGACGAGCGGGTGTCGAAGGGAGATAGCGTTGGATTGTGGGGTCGGAGAAGGGTTTCGGAAGTACTCGTGGGTGAAGTTACCGGATACTCGTAAATCGTGGTTTGACCCGAATATGACGTTGAAACAATGCGAGGTGAAATGTAAAAACGAGTGTAATTGCACGGCGTATGCGAGTTTGGATATTAAATACAATACCGGGTGTTTATTATGGTACGAAGAACTTGTAGATATCAGAACGTATTCTGATGCTGGACAAGATATATTTATACGATTGGCTGCTGCTGAAATAGGTACATTTTATTTTATTTTTAATTTTTAATTTTTAATTTTTTAATTAAAAATGTAGCTATTTTTCTTGGAATTTTTTATTTATAGAAAAAGATAAAAAGACATCAAGGAGCAAGAAGAAAGTGAGGATGATCGTGATCCCTATAGGAGTCACTGTTCTACTACTAGGAGTATGCCTATTTTTGATCTTAAAGAAAAGGAACTCCAAGGCACACGGTAACATCTTTATTCTTTTATTTGATTACTCTGTTCGTTTAAACCTTTATATATATATAGAGAGAGAGAGAGTATGTTAACCGTTCATTTAATTTGATGAATATGTTATTTCATAAAAAAATTTATTGTTTCCTAATATAAAATATTGATCATAATTAATGAAAATTAGTCATCTTTCATAAATATTCAAATCATAATAAATGAACTTTCATCATTTACATAAGTATCTCAATTGATTGGGTTGCATTGGTTGTACAAATAGACATGGTTGCAAACCACCCAATTTGTACAAACCGTGCAAACCACCTTCATCCGTCGATTTCATTGTTTAATCTTACGAAATTTTTTCATGAAACTGTTTAATCTTGTGAAATTGTTTCATATAATACTTTTTTGATAAAGTTGTTCAATTGTTTTATATAATACTTAATGAAATTTTAATGACATTGTTTCATGTATTTCTCTAAAATTAAAGTAATGAATATGATAATATCCATGATTAACACCCTCCACAATAAAAATGATTAATCAACCTCTCAAAATTACAAAAAAAATGAACAAAATGAAAAATTACGATTGGTTGAATGAGGTTTGTACAAATGACATGGTTTGCAAAGTAAACCTCCTCTCTCTCTCTCTCTCTCTCTCTCTCTCTCTATATATATATATATATATATATATATATGTATTAAAGATTCTTTGAATCAATATTGAATTATTGATTATACATTTTTAGCTTCCACAATTATCTTACTAATTATATTAGTTACTTTATCGATTTCTCGTTAAAAACTCACTTTTTTGTTTTGATTTTGAAACAACTTTATTTCACCAATGAAACAAAACATGGGTTGATGTAAAATGTTTTGATAATACAATGTTGTTTCACCAATGAAACAATGACATTCATCTCTTTTGAGTATAACATCCTTTCACCAATGAAATATTACATCTATCGGCTGATTTCAAATGGTTAAAAGTGGGTTTTTTTAGTAATTAATATATTTAATAAAATAATTATGGACGTTTAAAACATATGGTTAATATTAATTCATAGAGTTTTTAACTTATAGACGGTTTTGTACCATATATATATTATTGAAAAATATCGTGGCTGCCATATTAATTTTATGTCTTCTTTTATCAATAGGGCGACGTGATTCAATTAAGAAAGACAGAGAAGAAAGTCAAATATACGACTCCAGAGATAATGATCTAGACCTACCGTTGTTTAGTTTGTCCACACTGCTGAGTGCGACCAATAACTTTTCATTTAACAACAAGCTCGGCGAGGGTGGTTTTGGACCGGTATATAAGGTAACATTAGTTAAGTCTTGATTAGACCCACATTCGACATTTATTCTTACTGTTTAGTTTTGTTTACGAATACTTGAAAAACAAACTTCTGAAGGGATTTCTAGACGACGGACGGGAAATTGCGGTGAAACGGCTCTCCGATAGTTCCACACAAGGCGTTGAAGAGTTCAAGAACGAAGTAATCGTCATTTCCAAGCTTCAACACCGAAATCTTGTCAGGATTCTAGGATGTTGCGTTGAAGGGCAAGAAAAGATGTTGGTTTACGAGTACATGCCTAACAATGGGCTTGATTTATTTTTATTTCGTAAGTATAACGTCACGTAATACATGATAATATAAACAACTTCAGTATTCAAGAGAAAAACACTCAACTGGACCCAACCATTTATTTATTTTGCAGAAGAAGCCAAGAGAAAAACGCTCAATTGGACCCAACGATTCCATATAATCAATGGGATTGCTCGAGGTCTACTTTATCTTCATCAAGATTCTCGGCTACGAATCATCCATAGAGATCTCAAAGCTGCCAACATTTTGCTTGATCGTGACATGAATCCGAAGATATCAGATTTTGGCATGGCGAGAAGTTTTGGAGGAAACGACAACGAAACAAATACCAACAGAGTGGTCGGAACATAGTAAGAACGTATTTTCTAATAATTTATAACTTCTATATGTTTCTCATTGCATGAAAATTAGCACTGATAATTATATACCCATTTAATTTACCAACTTGATCAAATCAATACAGTGGATACATGTCCCCAGAGTATGCCGGAGATGGGATTTTCTCTGTAAAATCAGACGTATTCAGTTTCGGTGTGCTGGTTCTGGAGATTGTAAGTGGGCAGAAAAATAGAGGATTCTTTCATCAAGCGCACCATCACAACCTCCTTGGACACGTAAGATAAAATATGATATTATATTAAACGACTTGCCGTTTAATTTTTAAAAACGGTTGACTTATGTTGACTTTTCAATCTTTAGGCATGGAGGCTCTATAAAGAAGAAAAGACTTCGGAATTGGTTGATGCTTCTCTCGATGGGTCAATGTTTGAAGTTCTACGATCGATCCATGTGGCTTTATTATGCGTCCAGAATAACCCGGACGACCGACCAACCATGTCTACGGTGATTATGATGTTGAGCAGCGATGGTCCACTTCCGATACCAAGACAACCTGGTTTTTATACAGAAGACACTAAATTTGGACCGGAGAATTCTGCTAGCATGCAAACAGATAAGTCGAATAACGAAATTACGATTACACTTTTAAACCCTAGATAGACTTTAAGTTTCATTTTTGCGATGTATTATTTTTTAGATTTATACTGCAACATGTAAATATTTGTAATATAAAATCAAGGGTTTGTACACAGAGTAACTGAAAGCTTTGGGCTGGTTATATTATTCAAAACTGTTACACTGAAAACGATAATATTAACGTCTGATAATAATTTTTTTGAAGGCAAATAAAGTAATATTTATCTATATATATTATAAAATATTTGACAAAAACTCTTAAAAACCATTTTTATGCATAAAGTACTATTTATTGATGCATATTACTTGAAATTCAAGATGACAAGTAAATTATGCGTAAATACAACTTATTAAAGTTTCATGTTTGAATTCGTGTAACTAACTACAGATAAACATAATCAAATAGAAGACAAACATTTTACTTTAAATATAAAAAAAATATAATTAGTATAATCATTGATTTCTTACAAAATACTTAATTATTATATTTATAAAAAATTATATTATTAAACCAAAAATTAAAAAATAAATTAAATAAATACACAAAAAAGATAAATTTTAAATAGTTAGTTTAGTACTAATATCAATTTTTTTTTTCCAATTTCTTATGATATATCTTCATATTTTTTTTTCAATTTCTTAAAACTACATAAAGATGTATTATGACATCAACTGAAACAAAAAAAGTAAACATTAAAATCGATATGTATGTCGTGAGAACATATTTTTTGGTCCCCTACCCATGCTTTGAACCCAACCGGTCCCTATATATATATATATAGAATGGTTCAAACGAGTTATGAGAACGTGAGAACATATTTTTATTATAGTCAATCACATGTGATACCATATTCCATCACATATGATACACATGTGACAGTGACACTAAATTAGAGACGTGAACGAAGGTGTGGCCCAACCTAGGTTGCGGGTCAAGTCATCTGTACACCATTAGGCCCCTTCACGGGTATTATCGCATGTGATAAGGGGCTCTTATGTGATGCTATAAATCCATTACATGTGATACAAAGTCAGAGACATGGATGATCTTTGGCGTAATCTAAGTTGCAGGACACATAGTCTGCAAACCACCAGGTCCCTTGCGTTTTCATAAAATGAAGGTGTTCTCGTATAAACCTCCACCTCCACATGCATACACACACACACACACACACACACACACACACACACACACACACACACACATATATATATATATATACACACACACACACATACATATATGGTCGAGGGTCCAAACGAGAACACCTTCATTTTACGAGAACGCGAGAACACTCTTGTCACATGTGATTATACGCGTGAGGGGACCCTGTGATGTGCGGACGACGTGTTCTAAGACGTAGGTCGTGCCAAAGGTTGTATGCGCCTATGATTTAGCATCACATGTGATGGTCTTGATGGATTATAATATTATATCAACAACACCCTTATCACATGTGATAATACTTGTGAACTTACAATAGATATAAACTTATAGTACACAAAATGCTACCCTGACATGCCACCAATTAGGGGTGCTCAAAAACCCAACCAACCAAAGCCAGTGCGAAATAACACAACCCGGTGTCGAGCTGAGTTGTAAAATCTTCGAACCATAGGTATTGGGTTGGTACTAATCACGGTCGTTTGAATCTAGCCCAACCCAGTAAACCCAATATTCTTTTATTTCTTAGATTAATATAATTGTTAAGTCTCTATTAATATGTACATTAGACAATTACATAATCATATACCCTCTTCAAATACATATATTTTCATTTTATTCCCCATCTCTATATAACTCCATATATATGTTCACTAAATGTGATTATGTGAACATATATATGTAAATTGAGAAAAATAATTAAATGTGATATACTTCAGATTTAAGAAGTATGGATGACTGTACCAAATGATTGATCATGAAAAAGGAATCATAAGTATAGAAAACGTCATATTTAAGGTTAGGAGAATATTTTTACGCACTAAATTATGAACCTGACCAACCCGACTAACCCAATCAACCATATGAGATTGATCGGGTTGAAAATATTTGAAAAGACCAACTCACAAATCTCAAATTAACCCAAACCAAAGTGCAACCCAATTAACCCGTACGATTTGGGTTGGGTTACACTTTGGTTTGGGTTGAGTTGAGACTTTTGGGTTGGGTTACTCAAATATCTTCAACCCGTTCAATCCAACCTATGAGCCCAGGGTCGCATAATACCCTGTAGTAAGGACCAGTTTCAGCAATTTTTGAATCTCCGACAATGTTTCCATTTTCTTGGTGTAAATTGAGTTTGAAACCATCGTTTGAGAAGGGGGCAGAGCTAGGGATGACTTTTGGAGCAAAAGAGAGGATTTTTAAAGCTTTTCTATCATTTTCTTCTTGTTTAATTGCTTCAGTAACTAGTTTCTTTATTCCACAACAGTGTAACATTTAATTTTGGTTTATAGATTCCTATCTAAAGATTTTTGAACAATCTTGCTTGAATTCTGTATGAATGTCATTATCTTTTGATTTACTAAAACCCTAACTCGACAATTGTTTAGGGGTTTTGATAGAAGCCGAATAATTGTGACGATCAATCTTTATAGATTCGACATGACTTACCACTATTACAATTTATCCTATGATTTAAGACAATTAGAACTTATTATTTACCAATTTCGCACCCGTCATTAAACGTTGCAACTTCACATCTGACGTGTGTTTTACAAGGGACAGGTGACAGGATAAAAACTAATTTTAAATAAAAATTAATGTCATTAATTAAAAAAAATTGAAATGCCAAAACTTTATAACCACCACTAAGATTCTATGAAGAAGCAAAGAACAACAACAAAACCAACAACCCAGTTTTGAAAAGGCTATGTGAGTTTATTTGTTTAATTTGCCGTACATAAATATCATATATTTAACAAAAAGATGCAGAAAGAAAGAAACTCCAACACAAACACACGCAAAAGAACTAAAAGACAACCACGAAAAGCCCAACTAAAAACATCCAAACAGTTCAACCACTTCAATAAGCAAATTAATGTCATTAATACGTCATTAAGTATCATTAATATATAATGCAACGTTTGATTTATCTATACCATCTAGGATTGGAAGGATACATTAAATGGTTGTTTGTTTACCTCTTAATAGTTTCATTAAAAGACAACTTCTCTGAATCGTGAAGAGGTGAATATTGTTTGACAAAAATTTTTTTTTGCCTCTTAACGGTTCTAAAACCTTCTGAATGATTTTGTATTTTGAATCTCTCTTAACCACTCAGTGCCCTAATTCTATTGTAAATGATTACCAAACAATTATATTTCATATTGCACTATATCATGAGAGTCTCTTAATCATTTTGACCAAGTAAAACACGTATAAAAATATAAATATTTAAAGTTTGATTAAATTAATTAAGAAAAAATTTCTTAATCATGAAATTAATACAAATTATAAAAAGACAAACCTATATACATGAGCAGATATAAACAACCGTTTATCAAATGCTTGTTAAGTAAACATTTGATGGATGTTATTTATCTTTCAGATAACCATGACAAAAATCTATAATCTTATTTAGGGGTCGTTTACCAAACACTTACCCGGCAAGCATTTGTCGGGAAAATTCAACACTATCATTTACTTATCTGGTAATATCAAATCGTTGTACAAAAATGGCTTCATATGTAACAATTTACCCGGTAATTAGTGTTGACCGTGATAAAAGTCGTTGCCCTCACTTACCAGGTAGGACTCTCAATCTTTGCCTTATTCTTACCGGGTAAGATTTTTGATTCTTGTCATATTCATCTAGTAAGGTAATGTAACTTGGTAAGCGTTTACCCAAGTAAACATTTGGTAAACGATCCCATAGTCGGTAAGTGAGAAATAAGACTTAAAAGTTTATCAAGTAAAAATGTTTACCAACAATTCATTTTGATGGCTAAGAATGTTAACTAATAAAATAAGAGTTATAAAAAAAATATAACATGTTAATTTATAGAACGTCAACTCAATTAATAATTATATAAGTTACGGGTGTGGACTTGCATGATCAAAAACAAATTTAAAAAAAATATATTAATTGATGATTTTAAATAACCGTTACATATAATATGAATAAAAACAAAATTTGTCAATTACATAAATCTTAATTAATTAATAATTTTTCTAAAGAATAATTTTAAAACCATTTGTTACAATTTTGTTATATGATTGAAAAAAAATAATACGTCACATCATCACCATTATTATTCGTGTGCACGTATCTTTGTTATCTTATTTTGTAGTATAATCAAGAATTGTAGATGTAACAGGACCCCCAAAAAAATTGAAACATCGATCTCCCTGTATAATTTGCTTTTTTTCATTTATTAGGTTCCATATATAATCACCGTTTTGTAATTATAAATAGGGCAAATTGCATGAAAAAATAACGTACTTTACTTGATTCTTATTTTAAGTAACATACTTTCAAAACTTTTATTTTTGTACCTAAGATGTAAAGTTTTAAATATTTAACCAGTCATCATGCTGATGTGACAAGTGATGTGATATCCAACTCAGTATTATTTGTTATTCAATCTAATTTATCTCATCATCGCCACATTAACATGATAACCGATTACCCAACTACTTAAATGTTTAAATTTTAAGTACCAAAATAAAAGTTTCAAAAATACATTAATCAAAATAAAAATCATATTAAAATATGATACGGTTTCCCAAGGTTATCCGATCATTCATTCATTTCATTGCATCATACATTTGTAAAGTTGGCCCACAACTAACTTAATTAATGCCAACTAGAATTTATTTAATTATAAGTCTTCTATTCAACCGTATATATTAAAAACCAACAAATTAACAGTCAAATTCACATATGAATAACAGCCACAAATCTCGTCCACATCCTTTTTTTTATAAATCCGAAGCAGCCACAATAATGGAACCTCCCCAGTTGACCTGACCACGTTTTACTACCATCTGATATTTAAAATGCATGCAAAAATCATTGGGATGATAACCCCCATTTAAGTAAGATCTTGAAAAGCTCCATGAAAATGGAAGCAACCTTCATCTTCGTCTTCTTCATCACTTTTTCTTTCTATTCATTGTTAATTTCTATTACGGCAGCAGCAGACACCATAGCTGTGAATCAAACCATTAGAGATGGTGAAACCATTGTTTCACCCCAACAGACCTTCGAGCTCGGCTTCTTTACCCCTGGAAACGCCACCCAAAACCGATACTTAGGTATCTGGTACAAACGGCAAGCCACCGGCACCGTTGCATGGGTTGCCAATAGAGAAATTCCGATAAGAAACAACTCCGGCGAACTCACTCTCCATTCCGACGGAGTTTTGGTGCTTCGTGACTCCACCACCAACACAATCGTTTGGTCAACCAGTTCACCTGGAACAACCACTGGAAACCCGGTGGCGAGGCTATCGGACAGTGGGAATCTTGTGGTCGTCAACGATGACAATGAACCAGAAAACTACATTTGGCAGAGTTTCGATCACCCTGGAGATACCGTTTTACCGGGAATGAAGTTTGGAAGGGATCTGGAAAAGGGTATAGTGACAAATGTGACGTCATGGAAGAGTGTTGATGATCCTTCTCAAGGTACGTTTATGGTTTATATGGATTTCAATGGATGCCCACAGATATTTATAAAAGATGGAGATGTCATCCAGCATAGACTTGGAATATGGAACGGTATTGGGTATACTGGCATGCCAACTTTAAAGACGAATAATCCCATATTCACATATGAATATGTTTCTAATGAAAATGTTACTTACTCGGTTTTTAATCTGATTAACGCATCAGTTCTTACTAAAACGACGATAAATCCATCGGGAGATCTTGGCTGGTTTAATTGGATCGATAGAACCCATGGATGGTTTCTTTATTTGACACCGGCTGGAGATAACTGTGCTCGATACGCGTTGTGTGGGGTTTACGGACGCTGTGATATCCAGCAGTCGCAATCATGTGAATGTTTGAGAGGTTTTACACCAAAAAGGCCCGATCAATGGGATATATCGGATTGGAGCGACGGGTGTCAAAGGGAAATACCGTTGAATTGCTCTTTTGGCGAAGGGTTTCGTAAGTATTCATCTATGAAGTTGCCGGATACTCGACAATCGTGGTACGATACGAATATGAGCCTCGAGCAATGCCGGGTGAAGTGCAGAAATGAGTGCAATTGTACGGCTTATACCCAATTGGACATCAAGTATAACACTGGTTGTTTGCTATGGTATGATGAATTGATCGATATGAGGACATTTCCAAATACTGGACAAGATATATACATAAAGATGGCTGCTGCAGAATTAGGTAATTTATACATACATACATATACACATACATACATCCTTACATACATACATACATACGTACATACATACATACATGAGAATTTCTAATAACAGTTATATATATAATCACAGCAAAAGATATGAAGGTTTCAAGAAAAAAGAAACAAGTGGTGGTAATTGCGATCCCTGTAGCAGTGGGATTGGGAATTCTACTGGGAGTATGTTTGTTGATCATAAGGAAGAAGATGAACAAGAAGCTCAAGGGACAAGGTAACTATTTTGATGTGTTATATTTTGCTCTTAAACGCATTACAACAAAATCGGGTTTTAGACGTCGAATATGTTATACATTGTCGTTTTGATCGAATCTTAGCTTTTGTAGTTTCAGTAACTCAGGATCCAATTGAACCAAAAGACGTTATCAACGTCCCGTTGTTCAAGTTGTCCGCGTTGCTAGTTGCGACCGACAACTTCTCGTTGAATAACAAGCTTGGCGAGGGAGGTTTCGGACCGGTTTACAAAGTATTATTCAATTTTGTCTTTTAATTTCAATCGTTTATTCATATTACTTTGATTATAAATGCCTAAAACATCAACATGTGAATTTATGAAGGGATTTCTAGAGGACGGACAAGAAATTGCAGTGAAACGGTTATCTACTAATTCGTTGCAAGGCGTTGAAGAGTTCAAGAACGAAGTTACGTTCATTTCCAATCTTCAACATCGGAATCTTGTCAAGATTCTAGGATGTTGCGTTGAAGGGCAAGAACAGATGTTAATTTATGAGTACATGCCTAATAAAGGCCTCGACTTGTTTCTTTTTGGTAAGATCTACATCAAACCATATTGCTTTCGTTAGACTCGTGAGACCACATAAATAATATTGAACCTTCATAGCAGAACACTGTGAAGGTAACCATTCACCGTGTTTTTGCTTTGAAGTTTCGATGTCTTTTGTACCTTCACAATATTTCGTTGTGAAATTGATCTTACGGATCTCATGAAAACATGTTGTTATCACGTGAACCAAACCCTGTATATATTAGGGTTAGTTTAATCCTTTGAGACAAAAACTAATGAATCTAGCCTTTTCTTATAGATGAAACCATAAGCAAAACACTCGGTTGGTCACAACGATTCCATATAATCAATGGCATTGCTCGAGGTCTACTTTATCTTCATCAAGATTCTCGGCTACGAATCATCCATAGAGATCTCAAAGCTGCCAACATTTTGCTTGATCATGACATGAACCCAAAGATATCAGACTTTGGCCTTGCAAGAAGCTTCAGAGGAAACGAAACCGAAACAAATACCATAAGAGTGATGGGAACATAGTAAGAATTCATATAACTTTGTTCTATATCCATATTTCCATATTGATGTTTAGGGTTTTACTCGTTTCGTCAAGTAAACAACCATCGAAATTTCTTAAGAACCCGTAAATGTCAAGTTTGTTGACGGGGTTTTTCAATTGATGCAGTGGGTACATGTCACCGGAGTATGCAGGAGACGGGATCTTCTCAGTTAAATCAGACGTATTCAGTTTCGGTGTTTTAGTGTTGGAGATTACGAGTGGGAAGAAAAATAGGGGATTCTCTCACGAAGATCATAACCACAACCTTCTTGGACATGTAAGATAACGAATTATTTGACTTTTAAATGTCGAATCGGTTAATTTTTTATCGTAACGTGTCTTAACTAATCGATATAAATTTAGGCATGGAGACTTCATAGAGAAGGGAAGGCTTTGGAACTAGTCGATGAATCCTTAATCGAAACAGGTCACACATTTGAAGTGTTGCTCTCCATCCGTGTGGCTTTACTATGCGTTCAACACGACCCACGAGATAGACCCAACATGTCTACCGTGGTAATGATGCTGAGCGGTGACGAGAGTCGGTTGCCAGAACCGAAACAACCTGGTTTTTATAAAGAAGATGATAGATTTGGGCCCGAGAATTCATCTAGCATGCAAACACAGAACTCGAACAACGATGTCACCATCACACTTATGGACGCTCGGTAAACTGTCAATTTTGAAACCCGAGAGCCGATATTAGGGTAATCGTACGCTATGTTAGAGAATATTTTAGATACATATCTTGTAAATTCATTAAGGGGCCGTTTACCAAATGCTTATCCGGGTAAGTGCTTACCAAATCATATTACATTACCGGATGAATATGGTAAAAACCACAAATCTTACCTGGTAAGAGCGAGACGAGGACCAAGAGTCTTACCCGATAAGTGAGGGAAACAACTCTTACCACGATAAGTGTTTACCGGGTAAATTGTTGCAAACGATGCCGTTTTGAAGAACTAAAATCTTATCCGGTAAGTAAATGATAGTGTTAATTTTGCCGGTAAGCGCTTACCGAATAAGTGTTTGGTAAACGGCCCCTGATAGATATCATTAACATCATGTAAATATGGAAACCTAAATATTTCATGTAACTCTTGTACTCTATATATTTGTTTGGCTTATGGAACAAGAGGATAATAAATCTCCGTACAATAGAATCAGGTTGATAAGACGTCAAAAATTTCTAAGCATCTTAATAGACTGTTTTATAAGACTTAATTTATACGACTCAAAAATAAAAAATAAAAATCATATTTTAAATGCGTTGTAATAAGTTTATATAACGTTTTTGGACATCGTAACTAGTTTTTTATAACATTTTTATAAAAAAAAGTTGTATTAGCTAAATATTATAGGACGTTATTTTGAAAAAACATCCTATAAAAAGATAGTGTCCTATAAAATAGCTAATAAGACGCATTATATTAAAAGTGTCATTAGAAAATGGTTGAGACACTCAAATGCGTATAAACTTATTATAACGTCTTTAGATAAGACCATACTTTACTTTTTGGTCATATAAATTAAGTATTATAAAAACAATTTATTAGGATGCTTAGGAATTAGTGACGTCATGTAAATTTATTACTACGCCTTTAGATAATACACTTTATATTTTAATCCTATAAATTAAGTCTTATAAAACGGTCTATTAAGACGCTTAGAGATTGTGGGGGTCCTATAAACCCAATTTTGTTGTAGTGTGTCTAGGGTAACGTCGTCGGTGACTTCGCCGCGGCAACCACGATGACGGAAAAGACGGACACCATCCCCCCAAAGGACGATTGTCATTTTATAAGTTCGAATTTTCTAAGTTTTTTCTTGGTCCTTGGTCAAAATTAGACTTTTTGAAGGGGAACTTTGACTTTTGGCAATTTGAATGTGTTCGTAAAGTTGAACTTTGATTTCTCCTTCAAATTAAGATCATAACATTCTTATAAACAAGTGTGCATTCATTTGGAGACCATTTACCAAATGCTTATTCAGGTAAGTGTTTATCAAGTAACATTACCTTATTGGATAAATATCGTAAGAACCAAGAATCTTATCCGGTAAGAGCGAGATAAGAAACATAAGTTTTACCCGGTAAGTAAAGGCGACGACTCTTACCACAGTAAGCGTTTACCGGGTAAATTATTGCATACGAAGTTGTTTTAGTGGACTAAAATCTTACCCGGTAAGTAAATAATAGTGTTAAATTTTACTGGTATACATTTACCGGGTAAGTGTTTGGTAAACGGCCTCTTAGGGATATTAGTTATCTATTTTTACGATACAGATGAATGTTTATTTTTTATATTAATCTAATAAAATCAAAAAACTTATTTTTACACAAAATAAAAGATTGCAAATTAATATGAATATCTAAGTATAAAAAACTAAATCTTTAAGAGACTTCCAAACAAAATTCACCTATTAACGATTCAGAACATGGCTCTTAATGGAACTATTAAGAGGTAAACAAACAACCTCTTAGTAAATCATCATTTGTTTGGTATCAAAGTTATGCTTAGGTATTTAGGAACGAAACATCTAAACTAAAACAACTCGAACAAACAGATAACGTAACATTAACGCCAACTAGTGTGTGGCTGACACCTACAATACCATCCGTGGAAAAAAACAAGAGGTTTGGTTAGAACTGACACAACCGTGTGAAGATAATGAGTACGACATGACTGTACAAAGCAACGTTGGCCTATTCAAAACCAACGATTATGCATATGGTTTACAAGTTTCAAAATCCATTTTTATCCCGGTTTATAACAGTTCTTTATTTTTGTCAATTTCTAATTTTCTTAAAACAACATGGTAAAATGTGTTAGAAATAACGTGTTTTAAGCATATAACGTCGTTGTGCTGAGGGTGTTTCACTGTTTGTGTCGGAACCCACGTTGCTAAGACATTTTCTCACAATACAGATCGACAACGATTGCGACATCGGATGTCTTTTTGAAGATGTCTCTTTGTTAAGGCACGTGAAGCATACGATTCTGGTCAAAAGGCCTCACAACCAAACAAATTTGTGAATGTTTTCTTCAACATGCTAACTTAGGAGAGAGAAACAGGGAAATTTTGCAAATGAGTTGCATATCTTTTTTTAACTGAAAAAGACCATTTAATAACAGAGAGATTGGTTTATACTGATTTCTAAAATATCTGTGGTTATCAAACGAACCTTATCTCTCAACTTCTGTTATAACATTTCAATAAGTTGTTATTTATACCTTTCAATCACATTTTCATTCACATACCACTCATATAAAAGAGGGTATGAATAGAATTGACTCCGATAAATCTAAGGACTTTTCCGTCAAATCACAAAAAACTAATCAAAAGTCTTGACTCTTGATGATGAAGATAAAATTACAAAACTACCCTCATGGTCCTTCCTCTCTCCTTGGGAAACAAGAACTTCATTTTTATCATGTTTTATTTTAATTATTGTTGATTTTAATTTATCTGTTTTTTTTTTCATTAAATTTGTTTTTAATTATCCTTTTTTTATTTTTTTTATTAAATAAGTAATTTTTAATTATTATTGTTATAATCTATACTATATTATAAAACATTTAATAAAAACTCTTAAAAATCATTTTTAATACATGAATTATTGTTTATTGATGCATACTACTTAAAATTCAAGATTACAAGTAATTTTGCATAAATACAACTTATTAAACCTCAAATTCTAAATTTGTATAATTAAGATAATTATTGAGTTCTAACATAATGTTTAATTATTTTTCTTTATAAAAAAATTATATTATTAAAACAAAAACAAATTATTTTTTTATTAAATCTAAATTAACTTATAATAAAAAATTAAATTAAAGAAATTACAAAAAAAAACGAGACCATTAAATAGTTAATTTGATATTAATATCGATTTATTTTTTTTCAAATTTATATTTCATTCAAAAACTAAAAACATTATCGTTTTCTCAAAATCATATAAAATAATATTATATTGATAAAACAAATAATAAAAATTAAACATTAAAATAAAATTTTAACTTATGTATTACCCTTCTCGTTTTTTTAGTATAAACTCAGTCTGGACCTTGTCCATTTATGGAATTATTTAATATATTAATTAATTAAATTTCGTTGACTTTGACGCAACACAAATTATTTTATTTGAAACCTCCCCGAAAAAACGTAATTTTGTTGGGTTCTATCAACTCTTTGACTATTCTGCAAGTCATCAACCATTATTACAATTTACAAATATCACAGGAACATATGAGCCCACGTTAAAGCATCCAACCACTTCATCAATGGAGTTACTTCCCGTTTTCTGGTTTTCCACCATCTTCTTCCATGCACTGTTCATATGTACCAACGCATCAGACACCATGATTGTGAATCAAACCGTTAGAGATGGTGAAACCATTGTTTCACCCCAACAAACCTTCGAGCTCGGCTTCTTTACCCCTGCAAACACCTCAAAAAGCCACCGGTATTTAGGTATCTGGTACAAACGGAAAGCCACCGGCACCGTTGCATGGGTTGCCAATAGAGAGATTCCGATCAGAAACAACTCCGGCGAGCTCACCCTCCATTCCGACGGAGTTTTGGTGCTTCGTGATTCCACCACCAACCAAGTTGTTTGGTCGTCAACTTCATCAGAAACCGCGGAAAATCCGGTGGCACGGTTATTAGATAGCGGGAATCTTATGGTGGTCGATAGAGACGACGGACCGGAGAATTATATCTGGCAAAGTTTCGATTACCCCGGAGATACGGCACTCGCCGGAGTGAAGGTTGGAAGGAATTTAGAAAGGGGAGTGGTGACAAATCTTACATCATGGAAGAATGTTGATGATCCTGCTCAAGGCCAGTTTAGGGTTTATATGGATTTCAATGGATTCCCACAACTATTTCATAACAATGGAGATATGATTCATCACAGACTTGGATCATGGAATGGTCTTGCATTTACGGGTATGCCCGGAAATCAAAATTCGATTTACGAACTCAATTATGTTTCAAACGAAAACGAGATTTACGCCATATTCAATTTGATCGACAACTCGATTTTTAGTAGGTTGAGGTTAACTCCGGAAGGCAATTTGGATCGGTATAACTGGAATAACCAAACACACGATTGGATTGTAGTTTCGACACCCGTATCGGATATGTGCGTTCAATATGCGTTATGTGGGGTTTACGGGAGCTGTGAGATCGAGAAGTCTCCACCTTGTGGGTGTTTGAAAGGGTTTACGCCAAAAAATCCACATCGATGGGATTTGGCCGATTGGAATAGCGGATGTGAAAGAGAAATAGCGTTGGATTGTGGTGTCGAGGAAGGGTTTCGAATGTATTCATCGATGAAGTTACCAGACACCCGACAATCGTGGTTCGACAAGAATATGAGCATAGAGCAATGCGAGGCAAAATGTAGAAGGGAGTGCAATTGTACGGCTTATACGACTTTGGACGTCAAATATCATACCGGGTGTTTGTTATGGTATCACGAATTGATCGATATGAGAAGGTTTACAGACGACGGACAAGATATATACATACGAATGGCTGCTTCCGAATTAGGTAAAGTTCGATCTCCTTATACTAATTGCATATATTCGCTACCCAGGACTACATTTTTCTTAGATCCTCGTCTCGAATGGTGATTCTTTTAACCGTTGGATTCGTACATC